TGATTCGGCTCAAAGTCATTCAAGACCGAGGCATGGCAACGCCAGCTATGGGTTAGAAGGAAGAGGGGAAGGAAAAGTCCCATTGGGATAGCATGGGACTAGGAAGAATTCACAAGAAGCTAGAAACAAACAAGGTGTTAAAAGATGAACAGGGTGTGGAAGAAAGAAAAGGGTACGAGGGTGGGGAGGGAAAATGGGCAGAAAAAGGTAGAGACTGGAGGTGTGGGACTGATAATCTGGAAAGAAGGAATAAAAGCTGGTGCGTCATCAGCAGAAATCCGAGAGACAGAGGCAGAGGCAGAGACAGAGACAGAGAGAGAGAGAACACGAGAGCGAGACAGGGAGGGAGGGAAGGAGTGATGGAGAGAGGGAAGGTACAAGGTTCCCTGAGTGGTCCCACAGCAGGGGGTGCCATCCCACATCCTAGGGATCAGCTATGGTTGGCAGTGAGCCCATGAGGGTGGAGACCCTGTGTCTTTTGTTCCCCATCATTTCCAGAGTCTAAAAGAAGGGCCGACACAGAGCCTCAATAAACATGGATTAAATAGATGAAAGGGGATAATCAGCACAGTGGAAAGTGACTGGGATGCAAAAGAGGCTCAAAGGAACATAGTCAGGTTTTACAAAGTGATCACAGATGGAGAGCGGAGGCGCTCCTGGTGAAAAAGAAACAGAGGGACCTTTAGGACAGAGACCTGCAAGAGGTGTGGCAGTGGGCAGAGGAGCAGACAGATACTTCCTCAGTGGGGAGAAGAGAGAAAAGGATGGGCCGACCAGGATGGAGATGTGTCCTCTTTGCAGGCCCTGACTGGGAGGGCTGGGAGGGGCAGGCTGTGGGAAGGTGGACATGCTGCTTCTTCTGAGACAGGGACAATGTGGGAGCAAAGGCTGATGACGACACCTGAGGAAACTAGTTGTCTCTCCCCAGATGGTCTCTGTTTTCTCAACCAAGAGTATGGGTTTGAGGAGAAAAAGATGAACAGAAAACCCCAGGGCCTTGAAGAAAGCCGAGAAGCCTTTCAACTGGCCTGTGGGAAAGGGCCAGAGTGTGACTCCTGAGACAGCGGTGAACAGTCCAGCCCTCACCCATGAATGACTTACTGCAGCCCTGAGCTGTCACATGGGTGACAGAGGTAACTGAGGGCCCCATGTTGCTACAGATAACCTTCAGCTTCTCTCCAGTGACCCACCTGGACTGGTCCCTCCCATTGTATCGAACCTAACCCGAAGTCTAGGGTCCTCAGCATTGTGACCATGAGGGCTGTATCCATTTCCTGATGCCTTCAAGAACAAGGGGGCTTTACATAAATAATGAGGGGAGCTTTATTAGGCTCTGGGTTCTGGCTACATTGGTCAACTAGGAGCATCTTTATTCAGCTGTTTCAGAATCCCTGGAAAGGCTAAATAAATGCAGAATAAAGACAGTGTCAAATGCAGAGCACTTGTTGGGAACATAGGTGTGGGGACACAAGCATCTGATAAGGGATTTTACCAGGTGATCTCTAAATATCCTTGCAGACTGACATGCTAGAAGAATGCTATGAACCAGATTGAAGGCAGATAGAAAGTGAGAAGCAAGGAGAGGACCAGCATCCTAATCATTTCCATCAAAAAGATCACACCGTTTATGATAAACACACGAGCACAGAAAGGAAAGAACATTTGTGCTTAATCCATCACTGGGGGGAAGAGGAAATGAGGCCTGAAGTCAGGTAGCGTTATGTTCGTGCGATTCCACCCCACATTACACATTTTTAAATGAGACAGAGAAGGGAATCAGAATGAGGAGACCCCCTGGGGGAGTCACAGTGTGAGCATTTTTATTCTCTTAATCTTCCTGGTTCTTGCCATCCCCCCAAAGGAATGACCCTGGCCTTGTCTGCCACACCATCAATGCTCTGCACTTACTTATATGCCAAGACGCATGTGGCTTTAATCATTTATGATAGTGTCTCATTGCATACAGGGATGTCTCTTGGAGTCTGTTCCCTCTACTGATGAAGTCTTGGTTAATCAGAGGTCTGCTGCCGGCTCAGCCAGTAAATCTCCACTGAGGACTGGCCTGGGCCCCCCTTCACCCTGTCTGTGTGAGTCACCAAAGGATTAGCAGAGGGAGGATTAGCTACAATGCTCCTGCTCATTGTCTGTCATGCCACTCATGTTTTCTGAAAACAATTAAGAGCCATTTGCTGTCTATTGACAGAACAAAATCTACCACTTCTCTAAAAAGGCTACTTTCCCCTGCATCAGGGGGTTCTGATGATCTGGAGTCATCTCATCATAGTCCTCTGATAAGGCATTGTTTATTTCCCCTGCTCCTTCAAGTCTCATCAATAAATCTGCTGTCTTTCCATTTTCACCAACCTTTTCTCATCTACACAGAACTGTCTGGATCCTTAGAATAACCACTTTGAATCACAAGTTTAGAGGGCTCTAGAAGGAAGACTTCCTCCATATGGTTTGCCTAGTGTGATGAGTCCTTGGCTATGCCTGGTTTTGACACCAGTGAATGCTCACCAGGCCCCATAGCTCCCTCCACGGCTCCCAGGCTTCCATGGGGACACTTATTCTGATGGCCTAGAGGAAACTTGCCTCCAACACACCAGATTCACCCCACCTGGCAATTGTGCCTACCGATAACCTGGTACCAGAAGCTTCTGTGAGTGGATATGACCGTGAGATCATATTCTGCACCAGGAACCCAGAGCTTCCACTAAAGAGGACAGAGGGATCCTCATTATGCACAGATGCTATATTTGGGAATTCACCTACTTTCTAAAATTTATGTGCAACCCCAAAACCAATACTCAAGGCACTTTTGCAGTCATTTAGGAACTCGTGTGGAGTGACAATATGTGACCCTAGGTGCATGTTTTCAGCTGAGGCTGAACAAAGAGACAACTGCCTTCTTCCTTTGTCTTTTTTTTTTTTTAATCATTTATTTTAATTGGGGGAAAAAACTGTCATCTGTTATATTATCACATACAACATTGTTTTAAAGTTCTTGTTTCAGCTCTCATACTATAAACAACTATCTTTTCTGTGGTCTACTACAGACCACACTTTTTACACTCTTGTACTTGTTGCTGCTGACTTTGAGTAGGGTCCCCAAGCATAGTTCTGAAGTATGGGCTATGTTCCTTAGCTCAGGACAGCTGTGATGTGCATCACAGAAAAAAAACGTATGCATTAGATAAGCTTTGCTCAGGGAAGAGTGACAGTGGCCATGGCCATGAGTTCAATGTTAATGAATCCACAATATGCATTAAATGGGTGTCTTTAAACAGAAACACACATATGACAAGGTTATGTATTGACTGGTTGATAGAATGTGACCAGAGGCTCACAGGAACCTAACCTCATGTCTTCCCTAAGAGCAATGGTTCAGTGTTCACTAATTCAGTGTTCACAGCAACTTCACAGAACACAACTGCTACAGTAAATGAGAATTGACTGTATATTGAACACAGCAATGTCTATGTCTCTGCTCAAATACCTACAGCACCCAGAAAACTCAGTATCAACCCTAGACTGAGCTGAACCCAGCTATCACCATACAAGGTCCTTCTTCCCAGCCCCACCCATGCCAGTCCAGGGGTGAGCTTGATCTGAGACAAGAGATTTAGCCAGAGGTGAACTAATCTTTGCACTATGTTTCCCAAGGTTTTTCTGAAACACAGGTTTCTCTCTTCCTTGCCCAGCCCCGGTCCAGAACCCAGGTGTCCTTTCTCTGATTCTGACAGGGAGCATCTGATACACACTGAGACAGATTCTGAAAAACACCCAAGCTTGGGAGGCAAATGATGGCCTTACACTGACTCGGGCCCAGTCCCTCCTACTGCAACAATGCTCTCCTAAAAATCAGAGCCGGTGAAATCAAGCCAAGGCTGATGGGTTAGCCCAATGCACCCTCTTCTGTAAGATGAACCAGAAAGAGCAGCAAGAGTTCTGTGAGCTACCAAGACTGTGGCCCAAGTACAGAGAGCTCAGCCCAGGGGCTGAGCAAGACCAGAAAGTGCCTCTTCCTAGGCCTGCCCTGGGAACCACTGAGACATGAAGGAAGCCTGGGGCAGTCCCCCAGAGCTTCAGTATTCCTGTCTGTAAGGTGAGACCTCAACCTAGCCAATCCCTTCTGTCCTACCAGTTCTCAGGTAGACATGGGTGTCCCTGCTCTCCAGGGCCCTCTGTGCTCTCTCCTGAAGCAGTGGATCATTTCCTGGGGACAGGAATGGTGGGAGGAGCAGGGGTGTACTTGGGTGCTGCTGGGCCCAGATTGAACCTGGGCACACAGCATAAGGAACACTGCTGGATGGACAGCCAAGCCACTGAGGCTCACGAGCTGAGAGAGGGCCAAGCAGGGCTCAGCAGAAGGACAAGGAAGGGGTCTGGAACCGACAGGAGGTGGCAGATGAGAGGGAAACAGGTACCCTGAGCCCTCTTGTCTGAGTGAGACATCTGCAGTGGGGAGGTGAGAACTCCTAGCACTGGGGCTGTGAACTGAATCTCAGAAAGTGCACCCTTCGGGGCACTGGAGGGGCAGCTAGAGAGATGTTTCCATTCAAAGGTACTCACCGCCCTTCATTCCCTTCCCCCTCATGGAGGCTTGGGTGGAGGTTCTGGTGAGCTCAGGGGCTGCTGTCTTAACAGTCAGGTTATTTTTCCTACTTACGTAAGCCAGGTCTAGAGAAGAGAACAGCCTTGCTGTGTCTCCTGGCTTATTGGGAGCACCTCTTAGTACCCATGGTCCTGCTGAGCCCAGGTGAAGAAAAGAGGGAAGCAGACTCAGCCCCACAGCCTCCACTTCCCAGAGGACTCTGGTCCCGGGGACTCTTGGCTCAGGCTATTCTTAAAGTTTTAAGACAAGCAGGGAGGGTCTCTTAGAAAGTGGGAGGTTGGCAGGTAGCAAGTCATCCTAGAAGGTTCCAGAACCCCAGGTAGATGGTCTATCACCAACCTCCCACCCCTCCCCAAGAGGGAGAGCATTCCATCCCAGTACTTACACGTGTCTGGCTTGTGGCAGTTGTGTCCCTGACGGAAGTACTGGGGGTTCTCAATGACCGGGATGCGGGTCATGCCAATGACCACAGTGTCAGGCCCGGCATCCAGCGACGAGGGCGTGGTGATGCCATGGTTGATGTGGTGCAGTGGGCTGGCTGAGTCCTCCTCGCCACTGATGACAGCCACGGGACCTGCACACACCGAGAGAGACGCGGGACCTGGTGACGTCACATCCGGCCAGTTCCCAGTCCTGCCCACAGACCACCCCCAACTGCTTTTCCCACCATAAACATTTTCTTTCTTTCTTTTTTTTTTCCTTTTGGAGAGTGTTTTGATTTTTGTTTGTTGTTGTTGTTGTTGTTTATATTCAGTTGTTTAGGTTTCTAGTATATTTTAGATATATGTGGCTTATCAGATATATATGGCTTACAATTTTTTATTCCATTCTATAGGCTGCCTTTCCTTTTTTTTCTAATGAGATGGAGTCTCACTCTGTCACTTAGGCTGGAGGGCAGTGGCACAATCATGGCTCACTGCAACCTCTGCTTCTTAGACCCAAGCGATTCTTGTGCCTTAGCTTCCCAAGTAGCTGGGATTACAGGCTCCTGCTACCATGCCTGGCTAATTTTTTGTATTTTTAGTAGAGACAGGATTTTACCATGTTGGCCAGGCTGGTCTCAAACTCCTGACCTCAGGTGATCCACCTGCTTCATCCTCCCAAGGAGCTGGGATTACAGGTGTGAGCCACCACACTCAGCCCACATTTTATTTATTAGCAAAATCCACTGGAAGAGTATTCCTCAAATGCACTGCATTCTGAATTCAGAGAAACACCCTAAATTCTCTTTCTTGAAAATTATTCACCCAACAAACCATGGAAGCAGCTGCAAAATCAAAGTGAATTTAAATGATCCTAGCATAAATTATTTTCACTTTCTCCCAAATCCAAATTAGTTCAAAATAAGAGTTTTTAAATACATTTATTATGTAGTAACAATGGGATTTTTAAAAAGACCTAGCAGTAGTTTGTTCCCTGCCCCTCCTCTTCTTTAAAAATGGCCGATAGTGGATTTCATCTCCAGAGGTTCTGATTCAATTGGTCTGGGGGTACCAGGTGGATATCAGAGTCCCATGTACAACCAGGATCAAGAACCTCTAATTCAAAGACCCAGAGCCTCTGCAGCTGACCTGAGACTACCAGGGGAGTATGCTGTAGCTTTTACTACACTTGGCCATCAACCCTCCCTTATTCACAGGGAGGTAAGCCCAGTGTGGGCCTGGATATACCCTGAACCAAGTTTCACAAATGACAGTAATTAAGCTGCATCATGATTTGCATACCAGCAGCTGCGCCAGCTGCCTCACTCTTGAAATAACCTCCTTGACCCAATGGCTTCAAAGGAACATCATTTGTGTCTTCACCAACCCCAGCGTCACTCTTGCTTCTTTCTAACCCAAAGAAGAAATCCAATAAATACATGCAGTTACTCAAAAAGCCCAAGATGGCAAAGACAATTAATGCTGCAGTCTTGGTAGAAGAATGATTCTGTTTGGTACCACGATTCTCCCATACATACAAATAAAACTCCTGTAAAGTGAGTCGGCTGTGACTGTTTGCGGCTTCATACAACTGGCGCTTTAAATGGCTGCTTTGCTAGACACACAGTCCCCAAAGTGCCTGCTGTGATTTGGTTTTGCAGCTTGAACTGTATTTCCACTGCAGAAATCCATTACATCTTACTGAAGTTTCTGGAGAGAATATATCCGATCAAATAGCAAGGTGAAGCACCAATGAGGCAGAACTAAATGGGAGACTGGTGAATGCAAACGGAGGACCCTGAATTCCACTCCACCAGCATAGACGGGCTTATTCCAATCCATGACAAATGTCTGACTGTGTTTGGAGAACATGTGGAAACGTAGCTTTAAGTAGTTGCCCAGATACTTGCAATAATCACTTGCCTTGCAAAAAAGCAGCCAGTTCCTGAAAACACCTTGTAAACTTTTTGAAAAACTTCATAGCAAATTCCAGTTAAACAGGGAAAACTAAGCACTGGTTTTTATCCTCCTTTCCTCCTCAAACATATACTAAACATTCCCTCCACTAAAATAAAATTTTAAAAAATCAAAAAATATGTGTTCACAAAGAGAAAGAGGAAGAGATAAAGGGAAATAAGATATTTCAATGATATTTTGGAATTTGAAAAGTCTAAGGAGGCAAGAGGAGGAAAGACGAAAGAGTGGGAGAAGAGATGAACAACAGGAGTGCAGGGGGGATGTTTGCAGGTGGTCAGTTCTGCTGGAAAGACTCACTACCTGAGGAAACAAGAGAGCCAGGAAGGCTGAGGTGGAGGGGGGCTCTAGGCTGAAACAAGGCACCCCAGTCATCACCTTGCCCCCTTCCCACAGGATTCTAGTGGTTCACCCAGAGACATCGAACCCAGAAGGCTCAGGGGAGGGCTGGGATGAAGCAGGAAGTCGAGCCCCTTCTTCCTGTAACCCTGCCTCCCCACCACCCAATCTCATCTCATACCAGCACCCTGCAGGAGATTAGAGAATACATCTCTGGAGGAATTCTCTCAGAAAAATACTTCTCGGTATGGACATTTGGGGATCTCCCAATAAAACGTGAAGTTCATTCTGTGATCATGCCACAGGGAAGCCTGCCAGTTGGCAAGTCCCACCCATGCACACAAGGCAGAATCGTACTAGTTTTCCAGGGCTCAATTCCTACATATGAAAAAACAGTTCAGGATCATCAGGTACTTCAGCAAAGCTCCAGCATGAGAGAGCACAAGACAAGTAGACCATCAGCAACCTTCAGAAAACAGAGGCAATGCAGGAAGCAGAAGATTTTCTAAAAAAATTACTAACATCCTCAGAGCCGTTAGCGAAAACACTGCATCTATAAAAGCAAGGCAGTATTTAAAACGTGAACAATGAGAGGGTAGTGAGGAGTCCTTGGGAATAACAATTACCAAAATTTTATAGTTAAAGAAGAGTGGAAAATAAAGTCAAGAAATAGTCCAGAAAATTAAACAAAATGGAACGAGGTGGTAAATAGAAAAGGAACGACAAGACGATCAAAGGTTTGATAAAGAGATCCAAAATCTAATTATGGGAAATCCCAGAGAGACAAGGAGAATGAATATGAATAGATGAATAGAGAACTGAAAAACTTATGGAAATTTCACCCAAATTACTTACCCAGTTTCCAGCACAATTAACACAAGTATGCATGTATGTGTGCGCACGTGTGCACGCGCACACACACACACACACACACACACACACAGCACACATTTACAAAATGCCAGAGCTCTGGGGATAAAGAGAAGATGCTAAGAGCCTCCAGGCAGGAGGAATATATTTATAAAGGAACAGCGATCAGAAAGACAATGGAACCATTCTCTACAACAGTATCACTATTGTTACTGTACAGAGCGATTTCTTCAACATTTGGATGGGCAACTTTTCAACCTGGAAATCTACACCTAAAAAAATAAATAAATCCAATGTAACGGAAAATAAAGGTAATTGCAACTGTGTAAAAATTTGCCTCACTCATCCCCTCCTTAGGATGCATCTGGAAGAGGGACGTCAGCAAAACAGGGGCAAGCAAGGAAAAGAGAATGCTGGGGATTTAGTATCATAGAGAGGCAGTCTCAGGCCACAGGGCTACAGGAAGGAGGTGTCTAGAGGGAGAGGTTACAGAATACAATGATGAAGGCAGGATCCAAGCCCAGGCTATCTTGTTTACTCCAAAGCTCACAAGCCTTCGCTCTAACTACAGACTACTTGCTCTATTCGAACTGTAGACCACAGACCGCAGGAAGACACAAAGACACACAATGGAAGTGATGCCCTCAACCCCACCCCTTTCTGTTCTCAGCATACTAGGATGTGGACTATTACAGTGACATGGAGGAAGGACACAGAAGAGGCAGAAGTGTGAGAAGATACATCAAGATTTAAACCTTTTGTCAAAGGCTGTTTCTTTGAATCTGCTCATGTAAAGTCCATCCATAGCAAGAAGTCAATGAAATATTCCAAGAGCCTGGGATCTAAAACAGTCTCCATCTTCTCTACATTATTTGAGAATTTGAAAAAGCTGGGGTAAGAACCATAGATGGAAGCGTCCTGCCACAGGCTCACAAGCCTTAGGAAGGAATGAGGTGACCCCGGAAGACGATGGAGATTAAAGAATAAAGCCAGAAATCAGAGCCCTGAGGACCCCAATACCTAAAATGTGGGCATTGGCAGTGGAGTAAGGGAAAAGAGAACTGTCAGAGATTTGGCAGGAAACAGCACTTGGCAGGCTGAGGCAGGCAGATCACCTGAGGTCAGGAGTTCAAGACCAGCCTGGCCAATATGATAAAATCACGTCTCTACTAAAAATACAAAAATTACTTTGGGAGGCCGAGGCGGGTGGATCACGAGGTCAAGAGATCAAGACCATCCTGGTCAACATGGTGAAACCCCATCTCTACTAAAAATACAAAAAAAAAATAATAATTAGCAGGGCATGGTGGCACGTGCCTGTAATCCCAGCTACTCAGGAGGCTGAGGCAGGAGAATTGCCTGAACCCAGGAGGCGGAGGTTGCGGTGAGCTGAGATCACGCCATTGCACTCCAGCCTGGGTAACAAGAGCAAAACTCCGTCTCAAAAAAAAAAAAAAAGTAAAATACAAAAATTAGCCAGGCACAATGGTGCACGCCTATGATCCAAGCTATTTGGGAGGCTGAGGCAGGAGAATCACTTGAACCTGGGAGGCAGAGGTTGCAGTGAGTGGAGATGGTGCCACTACACTCCAGCCTGGGCAACAGAGTAAGAATCCCCATCAAAAAGCACGAAAATTCCAAAGGAGAGTTTCTAGAAGTTCAAGAGACACATACACTGAGGACACATAGAATTAAGCTCGGAAATAGGCCACTGTGTTGGAAAATGTGGAGGTTACCTTAACGAGAGACGTTTCTGTTTGGAAAACTCTGTCCCTGTCGTGAAAGCCCCTCCCCTCCCACACAAAGAGGGTCCCTTATCTTTCACTCTACATACCGTTCTGGCCTTCCCCGCCCGGCTGCAGCCACCTCCCGCCCGCAGCCACCTCCAGTGCAGCCACTTCCCGCCCGGCAACCGGCTGACCAATCACCGCCCGCCTCATCAGCTCTCCCCAGCTTCCGGCCGCCCGGT